TGTGACCAGTCGGTTGTTGTGATACAGTTATGGTCTCACCGACGAGTTAGCGGTTGTTTTAGGTGGTGGTGTTAAGTTGCAAATGGTGGTGCGTTTATGTTACTCTGATGATGTTGTTTTGCAGAAAGAAAGAGTGAACATTGTGAATCGATTTTGGTGAGTGATGCTCGAGAGAGTATGAGTAACGTGATGTCCAATATGGTGGTGGTGAGTAAAGGTAAAGATAAGTCAGTGGTTGTAATGTGAAACTGAAAAGAAGGATGGATGATGGAGGTCAGAGGTGGTTAGAAGTGGTGTAGGAGAGCTTGAAGAAGGAGGTTGTTCAAAAGGATAAACACACACACACAGAGAGAGAGAGAGAGAGAGAGAGAGAGAGAGAGAGAGAGAGAGAGAGAGAGAGAGAGAGAGAGAGACTTGTTGTTCTCACGGTGACATAGAAGTGTGACGTGAGAAGATTAGTTGGACGTGCAAGTTTCCGACCGAAGCAGTGCAAGGTGAAGGAGGAAGATGGAAACTATAAGGTGGTAGCTCGGTTGAACTACAGTGGAAGTTACATGGTTATTGGTTTTTGTGATGTTGGTTGAAGAGAGTGTGATGGTTGAAGAAGATGAGTTGGTTCACTGCAACTTGAATGGAGTTTTAACGGTGGGGTTGAATTTGTGGTTGTTATAAGGTGGTATATGATTTGTTGTTATGCGTTGTATGGTGGATGTCGCTGACACTAAGCATGGCAAGAAAACCTGGGTCCGCCAGGGCCCACCCGGATCCGGTCCGAAATTAATGGGAGAAATCCGATTTGATTGGGTGCGGGTGCAGGGAAAACCCGATTTGTAATTGCGGGTGCGGGTGGGGGGCAGGGGGCAGAGGGATGCTACTACCTGCCCTGTATCCACCCCCGCTCCGCCCGGTCTTATGGTATTTACTTTAATACCCATATTTAAATTATTTTATTACACATTTAATCACTTTTGGAGAAGTAATTGAAAATACCCATTAGTTATTTCTCACCTTTCACTTAAACTCTCATCTTTAGAAACAAGTTTATTATTAAAATGGTCAAAATTTTAATAAAATTATTAATTTTTACTACTATTTAAAAGAAATCTTTTTTTTTTTGCAGATAAGGGCGTGTGCGGACAAACTTGTTTCCATCAGGGCGGGTCTGGGTGGTAAATTTTCACCTCCGATTGGATTTGGGGGCGGGGGCGAGTCTATAACAGGGAGGCAAGTGCGTGGCTAGCTAAACCTGCCTCCGCTCTGCCCCGTTGCCATGCCTAGCTGACACGTTGGCGGAAGGGGGGCGTTTAGCGATATTTATGGCAGATGGTGCGAGCTACATTTTGCAGCAGATGGAGGAAAAGGTTTTTTTTGAAGAAGAACATAAGTTGTGTTATAGTATTTGCAGGGAAAAGTTCAAGATGAGGATGAATAGGAAAAAAATGGCTACATAAATTTCAGAGTCAGAGCAGGATGGTCAGTTTTTCTTTCAGTTTTATGGAGTGTAAGTGAGAGCAAATAACGTGTTGCCAGGCTGTGAATGGAACTCCCATTTATGATTGGTCCAATTCCCTCAAATTTAGAGAGAGGTCACATGAAGAGGGATTTGTGGGAAGATGAGACTCGTTTGGATCTCCTTTGCTAACATAACCGTTTTTCCCTCCTCTTTCAAGTGGGACACGTGTCCCCTAATAATTGGAGATGAGGACATATTTTCTTATTTTTCCAGATTTTCTTTATGAATATTATTCAATTAAATTCTAACGTTTGATTGGATAAGAAGGAAATATGTGGATAATGCTTATGGGCTATTGATTAATTTGAATAAATGGTCAGGATTGAATTAAAGAAACACAAATTAATTTAAAATGTCAAAGTTGTCTCTTCCAGAAGCTTTAATTAATTTAAATGAGATTAAATCAACTAAAACAACTAAAATTCACACCTTCTTAAATAAATACAATAAAAATAAAATAAAGACATGAAAAATTCTATTTAATTTTTCTTAATATTTTGACAAAATAATAAAAATAAAATGACTAAAAATGAATAAAAATTGGGATCAACGCGAAATAAAATTCTCGGAAACATACATGTTTTGATCAAATTTTAAAATAAAAAATGACCGGTTAAAAGGCTCGGGCTGATAAAAATGGGACCGAAAAAGTAGTCGAGAAAATAAAATGAGCAAGTCAGGTTAAACTACGCAAAAATTTAATAATACTAACGTCTCCAAGCTCGATTTCAAAATTTTTCGACCCTTAATTTTACGTAAATTTAAAAATTGATTCAATCGGTCTATCTGTATATCCAGAAATTCATTTTGGTCAACATTTTAGGCATTATACGTGATGCATGATAGGTGATGCAAAGTAAAAGTAAAGTTAGGTGTATAAAAGTTTTAAAATGCCCGGATAAAATAGGGATATGACAACCGACTGGTACAATCAATGTAGTAGCTTAGAGATGAAGTGGCAGATGAGGTGGTGCAGCCAAATGCTATTGTTGCTAATGCAGTGGTTATTGATTCAGTGGTTGCTAAGGAGGTTGTAGATCTGGTGGTAGAAGAGGTTGTTGAGAAGGAGGTTGCTGAGGATGTGATTTTTGATGAGGTTGTTGCTCAGGTGGTCTAGCTAGATGCTGTTGTTGCTAATCTTGTCCTATTTGTTATTGCTAACACAAAGGTTACTCCTCTTTTTCACTGAGCCCTCTTTGTACACTGAAGGAGGATTCCCTAGAGGATCCATTGATCGATCGATGCTTACTAAGTATGCTGACCATGTGGCGTTACGACTATGGCAGAGAGAGGTATATGTATTTTATATTTAACTGTAATTTGTTTATTATTGTGCCATGAAAGCTAACTACTATTTTTTTTTTAATTTGTTTGTCACATGAGTGTCCCACACTGAAGGTGACATCGCACGGATCGAAGATGAAAGACTTCCCAAAGATTTTCGATGCCTGAGCAGGTCCGCCAGATTATACGGGAGTTCAAGCTCCTTGATTTTACCCACTGCTCCCTCACCATTTAAGCATCTTAAAGAAGGGATGTTTGTGTGTCAATCAAAATACTTTCAAGAGTTGCTTAAATGTTTCGGAATGAAAATTGTTAAATAAGAAAAATCTAAACACCACCAAATGATTCTGGACGTTTCAGCATCTTCATTATGTCGTAAACAAATCTTGAAATCTTAGCATCTAACTCGATCGCCCCCCTTTGTTATTCTACAGTGAAATGATCTCCACATATCATTCACATCTTCCTCGGTCTTCAACTCAATAAGGTTGTATTTCACCCTCCCGTCAGTATCAATCCAATCTTCACGAAACTCAATCTTTCCCACCTTTCTATTTTTGATAATATGCAATAATTCGTTCAACTTAAACGTTAGGTCGGCGAGAGATGTGGTGTCATTCGGAAGCCGAAACTCTACGGGAGGTGAAACTCTGTTGAAGTACACTTTTGCATTAATGGAAGAGACATTTTTAAAGATGTTCTTATAAAACAACATGTGATCCCTCATTTATACAATTTTGCGTTTACGCCAGACTACACAAAACTGTCAATGCAATCAGAGTCATTCAAAACTGTCGGCAAAATCCCGAGCGTCCAAAAAATCACACAAATAACACTATCAAAAATTTCACTTAGATTGAAATTTTCAATATCAATTAATAAATTTCAAATTTTCTAAATTTATTGAACCATATCAAAATTTTTAAAAATTTCAATATACCAAAAATTTAGAATACACTATCGAAAATTTTCATTCTACCTATCAAAAATTTAAAACGAAAATTACATTTAATTTTCAAAAACAATTTTGGCATTTTGAAAGTTGGAGTGTCATGTATAATTGAGGGATGGTAAGTTAAAATCTCTACTCTATTATAGCCCAAGCATCAAAGCCCGCCCAAGCAAAATTTCTTCTAGTTGATTCTATTTCATCACGCAGTTGCGAAGGAGCATGTAAGAAAGAATAGACTGAAAAGGAAACAAGTCAAGAAGAGTTAAAAGAGACCCTAACATATCATCATCACCATCATTCGAACAGAGGTAACTGCGTCTTACTCTTAACAGTAGCTTTTTTTTTCTACTAGTTAATCAACGTCAACATTTTGTTTGTTTGTTAATTTTTTCATGCACATCACCTGTTTGATAAAATTGCATTTGGTTTGTTTGTTAATTTTTTCATGCACATCACCTGTTTGATAAAATTGCATTTGGTTTGTTTGTTAATTTTTTCATGCACATCACCTGTTTGATAAAATTGCATTTGGTTTGTTTGTTAATTTTTCATGCATATCACCTGTTTGATAAAATTGCATTTGGTTTGTTTGTTAATTTATTCATGCACATCACCTGTTTGATAAAATTGCTTATAGGTTTTGAGCTTTTGCTTTGCAATCTTGGATTCATCGTTTGTTTTGCTATTGAGTCTTTGAAGTAGGAAGAGTTAGTTGTTATTGTTGTTGTTCTTTCATGATAATTTAAATCTGGGAGCAATGGAACATTGTTGAAATGAATGAAAACATTGTCTTGGCTGGTAAAGTCACTATTTGAAAATTAAAAGAAAAAGATATTAAAAAACATTGAGATTGTGAGAAGCTTGGTGTTCAGCTTTGGTTGTGAACAGAGTTGCAAATGAATGTTTGCAGAGTTTATTTACTGAAAGGCGATAAACTGAATTTTCATTAAATGGTTGCTAAACCCTAGTTGTGGGTTTCAGTTCTTTTGGGGTGATGCTTGCAGCTTGCTTGCTCTTCTGCATTTGAATAAGACACAAAGAAGCTCCTTCAAAAGCAATACCATTTCTCTTGCTTCCTTGCAAAGTTTCCTCTCCGTTGGTTCCTTGTTATCTGCTTATAGTAATACTCGATAACATCCCAAAAAATCAAGTTTATTCATTTATTCTTTTTAATTCAAATAGTTGATTTTTTCGGTGTGATTCAGTTTTATTCAGGGACCCTTTTAACCTTTTGGGTCCAGTTCAAGTTCAATGGGTTCTAAACAATGTCAAGTCTGCCACAAAGCTCAGTCCAAGTACAAATGCCCTAAATGCTATTTACCTTAGTGAGTAAAACCCTAACACTTCTTCCTAAGTTTTTTTTTAATATTGTTATTATTATTTGATTTTTGAAAACTGTTAAGATCCCATTTGATGTTGTATTTTCTGTTTGTAGTTGCTCACTGGCCTGTTTCAAAAAACACAAAGGTATCTGATGATTGTCTATGCCCTTTAACACATGTTCTCCCTGCGTTATTTGTCTGCTTATTATAATGTTTGATGTAATGCGGGTATAAAGGTTGATGCTCTGGATTTATCAATGAAGGGAATGTCATATATTTAGGTCATATTTGGTTAAACAACGTAATCTAACGCTTATAACATAAGCGTTTATGCAGAAGCTATTTTGGTAACAAAGATACAATAAAATCAAACTGTTTTCATGTAAACTAGAAGTTGTTTTCTTGTGCTTTTTTGTATCTAAGTCATGTTTGGTTAAACAGCTTAATCTAATGCTTATAACATAAGTGCTTTTAAGTGTTTATGCATAAGCTATTATGATGACAAAGATAAAATAAAATCAAACTGTTTTCATATAAACTAGAAGTTCTTTTCTTGTGCTGTTTTGGAGAGCTTGTGGAATGTAGAAAACAACTCAGGTACTTGTCATAAGTTGGTTCCATAAGTTGTTCTAAAATGTCTCACAAGTGCTTATTTATGCCAGTAGATAAGCTCAAATACCCGATGTGCAGCTTGAACACAAAATGCTTGCATGATTTGTTTCCCGTTGTCTTTTACTTGGCCATACACTTCAAAATTGGGAGGTATTTCGTATTAACTTGCTCATGATCTGGGGGCAAGTGAAATTTGCACTGCGGAGCTATGATGCCATAGGCCTTTAACCATGATTACCTATGACACAGTTTTTTACTCAATACTGTGTATTTATCAGTCATACTTCCATGTTGCAGAACTTCCATGTGTCAATCCAACACCTTCAGCACCGAAAACAAGTAAGGTTTTTATTCACCTTAATAACTACTTTAGGAAGGTTAATTTGCATCATGAGGATGGCTTTTTTTTTGTCATTCTCTCCCATGGTCCAACCACATTTCTTAGCAGTAGTTATCAGAATTTGTAGTTTTATATTGATATTGATGGTTGCTTATTATTTCATGACACCATTTCATGAGGACTTGTTTTACCCCAATTTGCCTTATCATTTTTCATGCTGGGAAGTTAAGCTCGTGCTATCCATGAGGTTTAGAAAAGGATTGAATCCAGTATAAAAGTCTATAATAGTTAGCCTTACGTTTTATATACAATAGATTGCTTCACCATAACCTTAACTTTTGTCTGCAGACTTAAGTGGTGTGTACCTCGTAGATATTCTTCCTTGTAGTTTTGCCAACAAACTATTAATTTAAAAAATTGTGATGTACTATCAAACTCCATGCAAAATACACTTTTGCTGTAAAAATGAATAATCAATCAACAATGTTTTAAAAATGGGTTAAACTTTTAGTTTTTTGAACGCAACTTCCAACTAATAATCAATTAGTTTGAGGCACTTCACAATCTGATTTTATATTTCTCTATTGTTCAACAGCTGGTTTGGAATTACCTGTAGAAAAGCCACCAGTTGTGGATAATACTGTTTTGGAAGCAGTTGTAGAAAAACCATTAGTTGTTGATAAAAGAGGCCAGGTGTTGGACCAATTCCAATTGGAGGCTATAGGTACTTTATATCTCTATAAAAGAATAGGAGAATGTCCTAGATGCCCGTAGTTGATTAATATTTGTTTTTTTGAATGAATGTATTCCTACTGCAGCTTCTTCTAGTGAGATTCGTGATGCTTTGAATGATAAGGCCCTTCAAGAACTAGTTTGCCGTATTGGTTGTTCCCCAAATGCTGAGAATGTAAGACATATTAGTCTTTGTTTATTCTCACTCACTATCTTTTTCATTTTTGGGTACTCTACTGTGGCATTAAAAATATATTTAATAATTACTAGTTTCAGTTTTAACACGATAGAAGTTAATGAAACGTTAATTTGTGTTACTCTGGGCCAGGAACTTGATAAAGCTATGGCAGATGAGGCATTCCGCTTGTTCACTGACAAGGTAATGTTACATGTTGAATCCCATATGGAGTCTCCGACTGAATGTTGAACTTTGCAGGGTTGAGTAACATTGGATAAACTCAATTACCCTAAATCTCTCTTTTGTTCTCATTGGATTTCAGATTTTATCAACTATCAACCCCTAAATGCGGAATGAAGAGTTCGTGGACAAAATCAGATATGAAAGTAATAGAAGATAAGCCTCAAAATTTTCTGGTTTTGGTTAATCAGTAACTCTTATTTTTCTTCATTTGTACAGCTCTACCTAGTTATTCAGCGTTTGTAAGTTCATCGAGCTCATTTATTGGCATCAAATTGATTTTGGTACACTTGGATTTCTTGCATGTATAATATATCCCCAGACCTGTAAGCGTTGCCTTTTGCTTCTTGGTTATAATTAAAACTTTTACTGAACCAAAAGTCATGGTATCTGACTATCTGTAGATTTTGTTGCCTTACTTTCTGTAAACTTTTCATAAGTGGCTTTTGTGTTTGTTACACTGCCATAGTGTATTAATGTTATTATGAGTCATTTTTTAAATTAATTTTTGTTTAAAATTAAAATTGGCAAATTAGGGTTTTGTCAAGGTGAACATTTTGGTACTTTTGAATTTAGTTGAATTTAGTTGGGAATCCTCAACCAATCAAAGTATAATTCAATGTTACAATATTTTTTATTTTATTTTATTTTAAAATGAATTAAAAATATAAAACAATTTGCACTAAAGGTATTAATATCTATCTTAAAATCATGGGTATCAAAGAATTTACCTTTTTGTTAGGAAACATGTTAGGGCTAAGTTTTGTAGGTTCATCCCAATAGAGAGTTTTAGGTAACATTATTCATCATTCAAAAGCACAACAAATAAGACGACTGAGTTAAGAAAACATTGACCATAGAGTAACAACAAACTATTGATCTATGGATTTGGATTTTGACCATAGATTAATAGGTAACAACAAACTATTGATTTGGATGTTTTATAAAACATTATGTGATAATGTTGACTATTGCATTTGGAGGAGGGTTGAGTTTTTCAAACTCTTGATAAAGTTGAATCTCAAGTAAAGTATATATAATATGAACTTCATCAATGTGAACTTTGAGACGGTATACTTTGAGATGATACCGTCTCAAAGTGAGAGTTGGAGTTTCACTTATGATAAACTCACCGGACATCAAAAAGCACATGACCATAAATAGTGTTAGGTAAGAGGGTAGGTAAAGAACCATTAAAGAGTGTATGTAAGGTAACACCGATCTAATCATAAGTAATAAAAGGCTCAAAGTTTTGCTACCTAAAATTTTGATTAGATTTTGTGTCGTCTTTACTAAGATTAATTTCAAGTCGAAAGATACATAATTGTATTAGTATTATTTGTTTTATTTTCTAGAATTGGTCTTTTCATTCATAAGACAAGTGAAGGATTATTTTAATTATTAATTAATGAAGAAATCAATTAAATAAATCATCATTCTTGTGTTCCAATAATAACATGACACCTTGCGAGTGAGTAAAGAGTTGGAATACTTGGTGAAATGATGTGTTTTTATCAAGGATCACAATACTTAGCAAAGAGTTGCAACACTGGGTGAAATGATGTGTTTTATCAAGGCTTTCAATACTTAGTAAAGAGTCGCAACACTTGGTGTAAGAGTGTATTTTATCAAGGATCGCAATATTGAGTAAAGAGTTGTAACACTTGGTGAAAGGACGTGTTTTATCAAGGGTCACAACCTTGTGAAACAACACCATTTAGTCTATAAATAAACTGTTTTAGATGCATAAAAACATACTAATTTGAAATTTTCTCTTCCTTGTTTAAATTTCAGTTTTTTCTTCCCTACATTCGAGTTTTTATCTATCTTGTGCAAACTTAAAGTAGGTTGAGTTATCCTGAGTATTAAGGCGTGTAGATTCTGAAATAAAATTGAGAGTACTTGAAATACTATTATGAAAGTGCTCATATGCATAATTTTAGCCTTTATCCATTTAACTTACAATCATTATCTAATAGTCTAATAGTATCTCAAATACTGGCTATCGAGGCTTCAGTCAAAGCATCAAAGTGATGAACCAGGACCTTGTCATGTTTAATCGTTTTGATGGGACACAATTTACTCGTTGACAAGACAAGATGATCTTCCTCCTGATTGCATTGAAGATATTCAATTTCTTGGATCCTAAAGTTGGCACCGCTTTCAAAACCACAAGATGATGATTACGAGGAACTCAAGAGAGAATGCAAGAAATAAAAAAAAGATGAATTGTTGTGACATGGACACATTCTAAACATACTATCTAATCGTTTATACTACCTTAACACAGACAACTAATTGACAAGTGAAATCTGGAAGGCACTCGAGTTCAAATTTTGTGTTGAGGAGGAAGATACTAAAATGTTCTAATTGCTAAGTATTTTGATTTTAAAATAATGGGTTCAAAGCCTATAATTGCACAAGTGCACAAATTACAAGTTCTTATAAAATAAATCGAGGTTTGTGAAGATCGATATTCCCGAAGCTTTTCATGTTGGTGCAATTATTGAAAAATTTCCATCTTCCTAGAAAAGCTATAGGAAGAAGTTAATTTATAACTCCAAAGACTTCTCACTGGAGAAAATCCATGAACATTTTTTAATCAAGAAGGAATCAAAAGATAAAGAGAAATCTGAGACTGCTGGATTTTCTAAAGCTAATGTGGTGGGCACAAAAGGTAAGAAGAAACAAGATGGTAAGAAGAACTTTCTTAGTCCGAATAATGGTCAAAATAAGTTCAAGAATTCTGGAGAATCAAAAGGGTCTTAAAGGTAGTTTTTATGTGTGTGACAATCACAATCATTATGCTCGAGATTGCATGCATAATAAGTCCCAAAACAAGAAAAATGTTGTTCAAGTCGATGATAACATAATTGCTATTGTGAGCAAAATTATGGCAATCAAAGGTAATCTATAACATATATAAAGGTAATACTTGGTTTTTGGTGTAACTTTTTTGTATACCAAATTTACCCTTATTTTAAAATATATAACTTACACAATAACTTCCATTGAACTACTACTATCATCTTTTATATAACTCCCTACTAATAATTTTTCACATAACTTCCATGTAAAATTAATATTAAATAAAAATATATCATTTATATTTATATGTGTGCAATAAAAAAGCGGACAGACGGGCACGCGAGTGCCCGTTTGGACGCTAGTGTACAATAATGGTGGTATGATACTTGTACTACTGTCCATGTTTCTTATGACAAAACATCATTCAAAACTTATTCTTGAAGTCACCATTGGACAAGAGGTTCAAATGGAAAATGAAGGATGTTTAAGGGTCGTTGGAATGGGAACTGTGGAACTCAACTTCACTTAAGGGAAGCAAATTACTCTTATTAATGCACTTCATGTTCCCAACATGAATAAGGACCCTGGTAGTGGGAATATTTTGGGAAAATCAGGATTAAACTGTGTATGAATCGAGCATGTTAATCTTGACCCGTAATGTGTATTTGTGGAAAAGAGTTATTCCGTAGAGAGAATGGTTAAGTTTTATACTATTGACAACATTATTAATAAACTTTCCATTTATGCTTATATAATTGAATTCGTTTCTTTATGGCATATTAGATTAACTCATATTGGTATTAACACTATGAAAATGTTAATTAAATCTTGTTTACTTTCATATGATGTTAATAATTTTGAAAAACGTGAGATATATGTTAAATAAAAAATGTTAAAGAAACCTTTCCAAAGTGTAGAAATAAATAACAATTTGCTTGATCTTATACATTCAAATTTATGTGAATTTAATGACATGTTAACCCGTGGGAGAAATAGGTATTTCATTACTTTTATTGATGATTGCTCTAGATTCACAAATGTATATCTTTTCAATTATAAAGATGATGCTTTTAATGCAATTAAAATTTATAAAGCAGAAGTAAAAATCAATTAACTAGAAGTATTAAAGTCCTTAAGAGTGATAAGGGCGACAAGTACTTTTCTACAAAATTTGATGCATATTATGAAGAATATGATATTATACATGAATATTCCGCACCTTGTACTCCACAATAAAATGGTCTAACCGAAAGAAAGAATTGGAGATATCAAGAAATGATAAATGTCATGTTAATGCATTATGAATTGTCATTTAATTTATGGGGTGAAGCTTCTCTATCTTCTTGTCATATAATGAATATAATTCTTTTGAAGAAAGCCACTATTTCTCCATATAAGGTATGGAAAGGCAAAACACCAAATATATGTTATTTTAGAGTGTGGGGATGTGTAACTTATTATAAGAACATGTATCCTAAATGGACTAAGTTGGATCCTCAAGGGATCAAATGTGCTTTTATAGTTTATGCACCTAACGCTAAGGTTCTACACAAATTGTTGAAACAGAAATAGAAAGTTCTTTGAGGTGTGGAATTCTTTGAGAACTTTATCATGAAAGACGAGGAACCTTATGTACGTTGGTGTCATGCTAATCATTAGCAACGTGATGAATGAAAATTTAGAAACAAAAATCTTTATAAATTTCATATTCAAGATGAAACTGAAGGTGGGATAATACTTAGAAAGGGGGGGGGGGGGTTGAATAAGTATGAAAGATTAAAACTTAGAATAAAAACTCAAGTATTTTTATCCTGGTTCGTTGAACTCAACTACTCCAGTCCACCCTTCCTAGAGTGATTTGCCTTTCTCAATCAAGGACTTAATCCACTATTTAATCAAACAGATTACAATAGTAACACCTAAGAACAACTGTTCTTAGTCTTCTCAAGAGCTACTGATCCCAACTGAATCCTCTTAAGGAAATCTTTTACAATCAATGTAAAACTATTACAAGAGTAAGAATGCTTCTAAAAAGCTATTATCACAACTGTGATATTTCTCTTAAGTTTAAGAACAATGAAATAAATTTCTTAGAATGAATATGAAAGTATGAGAGCTTGAATATTTGATTTCTTTTCAATGCAAACGTCAACTGAAGAATTTGGTGAAGTCTTGCTTTTATAGGCAGCTGATCCAAGGTGGACTTCACGTTGAGAAGAGTGTCTAAAAGGTCTGAGCCTTTTTGTCTTCACATCAAGTGACCTTTTCTAGAAGAAGAAAGCACAGAAAAATCCTTTT